AAACAAGTCAACTCGACATATATTAATCCCAGCAGTGGGGTGATATTACATTGGTGAATATCACCCACACAAACCACAGTGCAAAATGACTTGATCGTTGTTTTTGGGAGAGAGTCAGTTTATGGGTAGAAAACAAAACCTACGTTGTTTTCTCTCTTTTTTGGTTACCCATAACCATATATCAGATATATATTATATTTATCTCATTTATCCATTGGTTAAATGAGATAATATCTGATATCTATATCATCTATCCATATCATGATATGATAGATATATATCCTGAGTGGCTCATCCAAATAGGTTTGAATTCAAACTCAAAACCCATTTGGATGAGGTTCAAAAGGTTCTAAGGGTCATGCCACATGGGCGCCCAATTTCTAACAGATGCTACAGAATTGCCAAACCTAGAGGCTTTGGAGGACTGATTAGAGATGAAAAGAGAGCATGGATTTGTGGCTTCTATGTCAGACTAGAAAACTGTACCAGCCTTGAGACAGAGCTATGGGCTGTGTACAAAGGCCATACCATTATCCTCCAAAAAGGCTTCAACAAAGTGATTATTGAAACAGATGCAGAGGAAGTGGTGAAACTGCTTGTAGAACTGGAGAAAAACATCTTCTCAGAGGCTTAGTGGAAGATGCAAGAATAATTTTCAATGGATGTCAATGCACTGCACAACACGTCTACAGAGAAGGTAATCTATGTGCAGACGCATTGGCCAAGCTCGGGGCAGATCAACCTGAGGATATGCTTGTTGTTAATGACCCACCTGCAGAAATCAGAGCTCTCCTGGTTTCAGACATGGTAGGCTTAGCTAGCAAAAGGTCTTAGTCCCAGTTTGGTTGTTTTAATTCCGATGTATCTATAAAAAATAAATAAATAAGAAAACAAGCATGAGATAGTCATACTGTGATGTATATTATCCGATCCATGCCAATTCCATAACTATTGACAACACTGATAATCCAAAACAAAATATTGGAATCCTTCAAAACACACACACTTAATCCAAAATAATTAAATTACACACTTGAATTATTTATTTAGGTAGCTACATCCTTCGAGAAAGAAATAGAGGGCCTAAGCAAAGATGGTACCAGCAACTCCACTTCGCATACCACGAACTCGCCATCACAAACTCATGTCTTACGTGTAGCAGCTTCCTTTGAAAATATAGCAACCCAAAAAAAAATAGTTAACAATATCAATTATCACTTAAAGAAAAATAAATATTGGGCAGCCATTAATAGTTTGTAAATAGGAGTTATTTAGAATCATCGAAAAATCTAAATGCTTTAGAATCTGATCATAAAATTAGATATAATCACGAGATGGAATCCATTAAAAATGTGTATCTTCTCATCCCATATGAAAAGATTGTATCTGATTCTGTGATCGAATGTTGTTCTTATAGAAGAGCTGCAAAATCATTGCATAAAAGAGCACCTTAAGTTCAATTATTAGGCTTGAAAAAAAAGAAAAGAAAGAAGCATAACGACCGTTTCATTGAGCATATTGTTACACGATTAGTAGATTTTGTAAAGGGCGAATTACATTAATAGTCCTATAGTTTGGGGCTTGTACCACTTTGATTCTTGATTTTTCAATTGTGATACATTTGATCATGAATTTTGAATATTGTTCCAAATAAGGATAATCAAAGATTTTTTTTGTGTGTAAAATGGTCCATTTTAAGGGCAAAGTCGTCATATAATTTATTTTGTGTTGGTTAACTTGTATGTTATTTAAAATGTAATGACATTTTTTTTAATGAATAATGCTGAATTTTTTTTTATTATAAAATTCTGTTTGAATTGATTTTTAGAATCAATTTTTCAGAAAAAAAAAATTCTAAGAAATTAAAAATTAAATTGGTGAAAAAAATTAATTACACATCAATTTTATATAATTTTATCTTTTGGGAGGGTAAAAATAATTTTTTTAAATAATTTTTTTTGATATTTATTTTCATTAAATTAGTTTCAATTTTTTCAAAAATCAAATATGGCGACAATTTTGATGTCATTATTAAACCAATCCATTAAATCAAAAAATCCAAAGCTAAAAACATTTCATATATTAAACATATTGATTACACATTAAAGCCTAATAAAATATCAACAAAAACAACAACCCAATATATAATCATCATCCATATATATACTAAAAATTAATTTAATGAAAAATATATAAAAATAATAAATTTATTTTTATATAATTTTATCCTTGGTAGGTAGAAATCATTTTTTTATAATTCAAAAATAATTTTTTAACATTTATTTTCTACCAAATTTGTTTATATTTTATCAAATTGACAACTTTGCCCTTGAAATGGAGCAACCTATGAAGCACGGATACTTCAAAAAGGGTGACGTATCCGTATCGGATACTTATCGGATACCGATACTCCTCGGATACTCGCGGATACGTATCGGATACTTCTTAAAAGTATCGGATACTTCTTAATTAATTTTTTATTAATTTTGAAGTATCGGATACTTAATTTTGAAGTATCGGATACTCGAAGTTACATATTACTTATAATATTTTGTTTAGTTCTTTCATAAGAGGAATATAGTGAGAGTTAAAGTAATAGAATTTGTCAAATTGATGTATCCTTGTTGCCTCTCTCACTTCTCTCTCGCTTTCTCACTCTCTCACGTTTCTTCTCTCTGCTCTCATTCTTTTTTTGGTGTTGGCATGTAAGGATGATGTTTAATTTACATTTGCATTTGCTTTTGCTTTTAGTTTTGGATGTTTTATGAATGTTTGAGCACTTTTAGGTTAATAGGAATCCCTCTCTTTATTTATTAATTTATTTTAAGTTTTATTTTCATGCATACTACATTATTAAAATTATACAAAAAAAAAATTATGAATGTATCCCCGCTGTACCCGTATCATACTTTTTCAAATTTTGACATATCGCCATATCCACATCCCCATATCACCATATTCGTATCCGTGCTTCCTAGGCTATCATTAATGACTTAAAAAAGTATATTTGCTGAAATTTTTATTTAAGAATGGTTTTTTGGCTTTGGCCTTAGCTAAGGTCTTGTGATATTCACTGATGAAGGGGAACAAGTTGAAACTATTGACCTTGAAGACTCTTAGTTTTGTAGGAATCTGTCTTCTTTATCAAGTTGTCTTTTGCTTTAAGTTTTATTTTTATGCATACTGCATTACTAAAAATTGTTAAAATAATATTTTTTACGAACGTATCCCCGCCGTACCCGTATCCTAGTTTTTCAAATTTTGTCATATCGCCGTATCATATCGTATCCGTATCCGTATCCGTATCCCGTATCCGTATCCGTATCCGTGCTTCCTAGAGCAACAATGTCTTCAATTGTCCTTATTTGAAACGAGATTTAAAATTTAGAATCAAATGTATCACAATTAAAAGGTTAAGGATCAAAATGACACAAATCCCAAACTACAAGGACCATTAGCATAATTCGCCTTTTTGTAAAATTACAATAGAAGTAGAGAACTTATGAGCAGAAATAGAAACAAAAAAAAAAAAAAAAACGCTTTGACCAGAAAATTAAATTTGAAAACAAGTTGGTTTTTTAAACATCTAATGTGCTAATGTAACTAATATCAGATCACTGTTTGGTCATGAATTGATGTGGAAATAGAACTTACCACAGAGCCAAAGGTACTTGTACTAAAATAGGACTTGAATATTTTGATAAGAAAATAGAACTAAAAGAAACCCAAGGTTTGCACTTTGCAGTTAAAAAATCTTGGTTATAATTTACAAAGAAGATTTTAACATGTAAACAAGGGTGGCCTACAAACAATGCCCACACAGAAGAATACGAGAAGTAACAAAATCGAAGTGAGACATACCGATTTTGCTTAAAGATTCCTTTGTAGTCTAGCCATATTCAATACCACAGTCACATAGAACCAATTTTGTATGCGGTCCAAGAATTTGAAGCAGGCATATCTCAATGGACTGTTACAAAGCATAGTGCCAAAAACTCCCCAAAATCCAACGGTGAAACCAATCCCCATGCTAACATAAAATCCTGAGGTAATAAACCTGTCCTCATCTTCTTGAGTAGAAATTGGAGGTTCCACAACCGTATCCTCTCCTGGACACTTATTGGGTAGGGGACGCCCACAGAGTTTAGGATTCTCAGAATATACAGAGGCATCAAAGCTTTGCAATTGAGTGCTTGATGGAATTTTTCCCGACAAGTTGTTATTTGACAAGTTCAATACACTAAGAAAATTAAGATAAGCAAGGCTTGTAGGAATCTCACCAGAAAGTCTATTTGCAGATAGGTCAAGAGCTTCCAACATCTTCATCTGACCAATCTCTTGGATGATTCTTCCAGCCAAATTATTTCTTGACAGGTTCAAGGAAACCAACCCTGCAAGACTCGCAACTTGCTGAGGAATTTTTCCAGTCAATTTGTTGCTAGAAAGATCAATCATTTTAAGTAGTCCCAGTTGGTTTCCGTACTCCCTCTCTTGTCCCTTCCATTGAACTAATGCATTACTCTCATAGTATAGGGAACCTGAGACAAAAGCACCACCTTGATATGTAGTGTAGGTGAAATCAGTGGATCCTTTCGAACTATTACTTTGAACCAAAGCAGAAAAATTGCTGAAACATTGTGGTAGTTTTCCCGATAAATCATTTTGAGAGAGGTCCAAAACTTGAATATAGTTAAGGTAGCAGATATCTTGAGGTATGCTTCCATAGAATTTGTTGGATCGTAGACTAAGAACGATTAACCTTGTGAGATGCATCCCTATCCATGCTTGTATTTTTCCTGTGAATCTATTTTGCTCCAAGTCAATAATTTTCAACTGTACGCATTTATTCAATGACTTTGGCAATCTCCCAGAGAAACTATTGTTGCGCAACTGCAATGCTTCAATGGCATTTAGGGAACCTATTGAGTTAGGAAGTGCTCCAGAAAAATTATTGTTGTCCAAATTGATAACTGCAAGTGCTTTAAAATGTTCCCAACACTTTGGAAGTCCTCCTGATAATAGGTTACTTGAGAGGTCAAGATAGGAGAAAACTTCGGTGCTAAAAATTGCACATAAGAAAGAAATTGACCCCGAAAACATGTTTTTGGAGAGATTCAAAAATGTTAAATTGGATGGAAGTGGTGGTATTTGACCTGTAAAGCGATTAGAACTTAAATCTATGCCGATAAAATCAGTAAACTTCGAAGATAAATCTGGTAACAAGCCATTTATATGGTTGCAAGAAAGATTTAAAAAATTTAACTTGGGTGATAGATCCCAAAACCAACTAGGGACAGTATCTGAAATTCCAGCTCCAGAGATATCAAGCATGGAAATTTTATTTTGCTTTTGAAGCCATTTTGGGAAATAAGGCCCCAACTTGCAAAATGCCAACCTTATTTGACGAATTTGAAAAGGAGGATCCCAATCAGAGCTAAAGTTCAAAACTAGTTGATTAAAAGACAAGTCCAAAACTTGCAAACTGTAGAGGTTTGAGAAGTGGGCTTCAGAGATTATGCCTTGGAAAGAATTCAAAGACAAATCTAGTTGAACAAGACTACGAAGTTGTCCAAAACTTTCTGGGAGTGGCCCATTCAATTGATAATTAGAAGAGAGATCAAGATACCTTAAGTTGGAAAGGTTCCCAAGCTGATGACGAACCGGACCTTCTAGATTATTAGAACGAAGATCAAGATACCTTAAGTTGGAAAGGTTCCTAAACTGATGAGGAATCGGACCACCAAAGAGATTCAATTCGAGGCTGAGGTATTGTAATCTGCTCAAGGAAGCAATGAACTCTGGGATGCGCCCTTCAATCATATTTCCGCCAAGATCTAAATACTTCAAATGCTGCAATTCAAGCAATGAAGAACTAATCTTTCCGCTAAAGTAATGAAGATCGAGCATGGTTACATGACCACTGTGGTTGTTGCAATAGACGCTACTCCATTTGCAACAGTCTTTCTTAGCTTCTTCATTCCCCCAAGAAGAGAGAATACCATAATCATCGACAGCTTCTTTAAACTTGAGGAGAGCTTGTCTCTCCCTCTCTATGCACCTGATTTTATTAGCAGCTTCAACTCCTGCAGAGGAGAGTCCAAGAACAGGTATGTAGTTTAATAATAATAGTGAAAGCACAACCACAAACACATGGAGAGGTTGAATTGATTTTGGTAACATGATAATAGTTTTTGTGACCATGATGGATGGATGGCCAAAATTTGAAGGATAAAAAATTTTTGTTTGTTGTTTTTCTGAGTTCTGTTTGCCATCGAATGGCCACTTCTTATGCTATCTTAGATTGCCATATTTTTATTTTTATTTTTTAAATTTTATTTTATTTTATTTTTTAAAAAAGAGAGACTTGGGAGTCAATGAAGAAGTCGACACGGCTGCTGCACGAGTTCAGTCATATCTCGGCATTACTTTTTTAAAAAAGGAAACACTGATTATATAGTCATTTTCGTAAAAAAAAAAAATTTAAAATTTGTTTGGCTCGAATGGCCACTTCTTATACTATCTTAGATTACCATATCTTAAAGGAAAATGTCTCGTAGCTCAAATTTTGTGGCTCAAAAGTGGCTCAAATGGCCAAAACGACGTCATTTTGGCCATTTTTATGTTGGTCTGTACTCAAAACGACGTCGTTTTGGCCATTTGAGCCACTTTTGAGCCACAAAATTTGAGCTACGTAGCATTGTCGCCATTACACCCCAAACTAAACAGAACCTAACGGTCATACACACAAACATTAGCATGTAATATCATCATTTAATTATCTCATCTTAATCAAATTTAATAAAAAAAAAAATCCATTCATTTTAAATAAAACTTTATTTCATCTATTTATTCCATAATTGTACCGTATAATAGAAATTAAAATTTATATATTTAATCATTTATTCTATTCAATTTCATAAAAAAACAAAAAAAAATTTGTTTTTGAAGAAAAAGTTCATGCAGTGGAATGAAATGAAATAAAATGATTATCCTTTTATCTTTTTATGGAATAATTATTATTTCTTTTACTATTCATTTTTTATTATTTTTTTGAGTGAATCAAACATAAAATAAACATTTTTAGAAGGCTGAGATGTTTCACTCGATAGGTAGGTCACAATTATTGAATGGTTGCAACCAATTTGCATACCACCGGTCCTCCTTAATTAGTAACGAAATCTCATGTACCTACCATACTGAGTCCACAAGTCTAATTGATCAATAATATTTTAGTGTTATGCTATATGCATGCGTAAATTGATACACTGAAAACAAATAGATGATATATTCCCACAACTAGTCAACACTGTGTGTAATGTGAATGGAAAGCTCGTATAAAATATGAAAACGGTCCCTAAATTTAGTAAATCATAAAAGCTCATACAATACAACTTGTGTGTTGATTGGAATAGATCAAGACCAATGGCACCTAGTAGCTATCTATATATTATAAGAATACGAGAAATTCTATTTACGAAATAACTTATTACACCCAAAATTTTTAAATTTATTTTATTACACTTTTATTCCTTTACAAATTTACCAAAAGAACCCTCAAACCCTAACCCTAATTTTTCACCACCGAACTTCTCACTAGAATCTCTCTAGCCACCACCACTGCAATGCCACCGACAACCCTCCTTTCTATCCTTGGCGAGCTTTGCCATTTCTCTCTCTAACTGCAAACCTCCCTAGCCGTCCACGCCCATCGCTGCTCTCGCTATTCTTTTCTCTACTATTGACCCAGCTATGCTCCTTATCCCTCTCTCGTTGCGTTGCAAACTGTAGAGGTTTGAGAAGTAACACCGCCTCTTTCCACTACCATAAGAGAGAGATCTGGAGAGATCTTCCAGATTGAGATTTCTAGATCTAGAAGAAAAAGAAGAAGAAAATGAGAAGATGAGTGCTGCATGTGAGGGTGGTCACCAGTGAGAAATGGGCTACTGTCAGTGAGACAAGAGCTGTGAGTTGCCAGAGGCAACGACAGTGGTGCCAAAGGTGATGGTTAGGAGTAGGGCTAGGGTTTGGATTTGAGAAAATGAGGGTAGGTTTGGTATTATGGTAGGTATGATGAGAAATAAGTAAATTTTTAAATTTGAGGAAAAGATATAAAAAGAAAATAGATGTAAAGAGTTAATTTCGTGATGTAAATAGAATTACCCTAAGAATATATATTTTTAATGGGTTGTATTTTGTTTCCAAAATTACCCCCCTCCTACCCCCATGTCAACAATTTACATTTTTTCGTTAAGTCTTCTGTAATCATGTTGGTTGCCTCCTTCCTTTTACCTCTGTGATTCGGGTTGCTGTTGCGCATCATGCGTAGCAACAACTGTTACACACCTTATTGGACCCATTTTAAGGCCTAATTCGATAATCTAAACTGCTCATATTTTAAAAGGTATCAAGTAGAATATACCTGTAAAAAATCACGTCAATCTAATATTATTATCTCTTTCATCAAATCACATTTGCATTGAATTTTATATTTCAAATTACATTTATTATTATTTTTTTAAATACAAATGTGATTTGATGAAAAAGCCAACGATATCTGATTGATGTGATTTTTTACTGGTATATTCTATTCAATATCTTCGAAAATATAAATGATTCAAATTATTAAATTAGTTCCGAAAATGAATCCAATAAAATGTGCAACAATTACTGTTGCGCACCATGCGCAGTAGCAACCCCAAACTCATTACCTTTAGCTTTCTTCTCCCTGGATTATTTCCTTCTTTGCGTCTTATCAACTCTCAAGTAATCTCTTTAATAAAATAAAATTAAAAAAAAAATCAAGCTGAAGACTATTTTGAAGTATTCTGAAGTTTCACAACAATTCTGAAGTTTTTCATATTTTAAATAAATTTCTTTCTTATTTTATCCTTTTAACTTTTGTTGGTAAGACTAATTTGGAGGAAGATTTTTTTGGTAATTATGAAAAGAGTCTTGATCAATTTTGAAGTATGAATCTTTTGTTTTTGAATAAATTATAAATACACTTCTGAAATTTATTTAAAATATAAATTACTCCCAACCGCTTGTTCAAAATTTTAATTTAACAGAATTAATATGAAAAATTAAATTTCTAACTACTCTCTTATGCAATACTAAAATTATCAAAATTATTAATTGAAAAATATTGATGATATCATTAAAAATTATTAATTAATTTAATGATTTATTTATTAATAAATATATAATTTGTTATGTAAGTATGATTTATTTATTAATAAAATGGATCTTTTTTTTTCATATTTTAATTTTTTTTATTTAAACTTTTAAGATGCAAAATAATTAAATATATTTAAAAAGTAAAACAAATCTGAAAAAAATGCTCACAGGTTTTTGTTTAAATTTTCATTTGTTCTTAACGAATTTTTTAATATTTTAGTTAATTAATTTTATTTTTTAGATACATCTAGATTTAAAAAGGAAAAAAAAAGAGATTAAAATATGTAAAAAAATCATTAAAATAAATGAAAATCCATCTAAAAATAATTTTTTAAAAATCAAACCAAATAGAATAATTTGTTAGAAAATTTTTACTTTCGAAATTTAAATTTACCAATAAAAAAATCAACTTAAAAAAAAAAAAAAACCCTGTTCAAGTCGCCATACACTAATCTATAAATAAAAGGGGAGCTTCTATTTACACACATTAAACCCCCTCTATACACACACTTAATGAAGGAGGTGTGTAGGAAGTGTAGTGAGGAGAGATGTGTAGAAAGTGGTTGTTGTGTGTGTAAATAGAAGCTCCCATATAAAAGAAGCGCTTACTTGCTTGAGAGTATTTTGTTTTCGATTTTGCCCTTTGGTTTGAAGTTATTTACTATTAGAGGCTTGCATTTTAGTTTTCCCATTTTTTCCTTTATTTTGTATTATTTACCAATATTGATAGTATTAATTTGGAGGTAGGTTTTTCCGTAATTATGCAATGCTTCTAGTTATGAAATATAAATATTTTGATTTTGGATAAATTATAAATACACCCCTGAGTGTTTTTTTTTTTTTTTTTTTTATTTTACCCTTTTATTTTGTATAATTTATTAATGGTAAGTTATAATTTGACTTTCCCATTTTATCCTTTTCTTTGGTAATATTTACCAATATTGGTGGTACTAATTTGAGTGAATGGTTTTTTGTAACGCCCCCAAAAAATGCAATTAATCCAACTTATAAGAGAAGTGAGTATAATAGAATTGGTATGCTTTCATTCATCAGAGTTCGTATTACAAAAGATAACACATGCAATACACATTCATAAATGTTCATCATGAATTTGTAGCATGTAATGCCAGTTAATAATCAACAAAATAAATGCCCTATGGGTTTACATCTTTTCAAGACATTGTTTGGTTACAACGAAAGGAAGAGTCTAACTCAACACAACTTAGCCCTTAGCTATACAAAATAAATAAAATAAAAGGAAGCACTTGCTCCAAGTCTCCCCAAACTACTGTCTTGGCGGAGGCATGTCTCCAATACTTGAAAATGGTTCCCAAGTAGAATGAGCCAAAACTAAGTAGAAACATACCAACATAATATATGAGAATTAACAAGATATAAGTATGCTGTACAAGTTTATTCTCTTATGACAAAATTTTTATAACTCTTTCCAAAACCATATTATGCCAAACCCGCATCTCAATTTATTCATTTTGGTTCAATAGATACATCCACTGCATTTAACCTATCGACAGAAGTTACATCTCATAAGTTTCCAACAGATAAAAATTATTATACAAATATATTCACTTCTATTTGCCATTTTACGGAAATTTTATCCATGGGAATCGGCACTCATATATACAAGTGATTTTCGGGACTTTCACCTTGGACACACAGGCCAACTTAGTTTAATAGAGTTCATCCCCTTTTTTTCTCCTCAAAACATGGAGTATATCCCTTTTCTCCTCTCAAATATCATACATATACAATGTATATCATTCATAACCATATTCAATGATAATGGTTAAATGATTAGTTTTAATTCACCTAATCCATATGCAATGTCTACAACAATCATGACTATCCTCTACCGATAACCCAAAGTATATATTTCTAAGCAGATATACAATGTCTATAACAAATAATTCATCAAATTTCCATAGGTGAGTGATTAAACAAATCCAATAACACCATTCATGTATACATCCTCCCAATTTTACATTTTCAATACCAATTTCATTATTTATACAAAATAGTTATTCAAGACATTATAGGGTAAGGCTCCCAATTTCTCAAATATTAACCCAA